GCAGGCTTGCACCTGGCACGGGCACCGTAGCCAGCCCGTGCCCCTTTAAGGGGTCCAGGGCCGGGAGGGGGGCATAGAGTTTCCCTGGTGTTGGCCAGAGTGGCCACCAGGGAAACCTGGGGAGGGCTAGCCTCCCACTAGTTCGAATTAAGGGGCTACACACCCCTTAATTCGAACTAGCTAGTTCGAACTAGGCTTAATCCTCGTAAAATGAGGTTTACCTAGTTCGAACTAAGCGCTCCGCTAGTTCGATTCAAATTCAAACTAGCGGAGCGCTAGTGTAGCGGCTATGAATGTTAGTTCGAACTAACGTCCATTAGTTCGAACTAACATTGTAGTGTAGACATACCCATAGGGAATGTCTACACTTGGAGGTGGAGTACAATTACCAGCTTGAGTGAACAAACTCACCTGCACCAGCCTCCCTGAGTACAAACTTAGCCAGATCTCCTGGGTATGTATTCAGCACAGCTATGCTACTGTTTCTGTCGAGCACGTACAAGTCTACTTGAGCTACGAATCAAACACCCAACTCCAAGGGTAGTTATACCCAGAGAAATCACAGGTTCTACCTGCGACTGTTAAGTCGGAGAAGATGCACCTTATAAGACCTGTACAAGGTGGCTTATAATGAGATGGCAGTACTTACAGGTTTCAGGTCACAGTGGATAATTTTTTCCTGGTAGAGCATTTGTAAACACCTCAGCACACACTGAGTGAATCGTCGAATCAAAGACAAACTAAAGCCTTGGAACTTGTTCTTCTTGATCAGCTGATACAAATTTATTCTGTGGGGTGAGAGACAGAAAGACCAAGGCACTTTGGGGTTATGGAATGAATAGCACATTAGAAAGCTTCTTGGGGGAGGGGAGATTCCTACATGAGAGAAAGGAATCTCTCAGAATAAAACAATATCTATGTTTTCCTTCTTGCAAATGTAATACTGCATATAATAAACATAAATATCTCCATGATCCTCCAGATCTAATGGACAAGTATTTATTTATTGAACCAGGTGTTACAAATCCATGGCTTTCACCATGAAGATTCATGTTCTTATTGGGGGAATAAGAAATAGACAAGTTTGGCCCAGTTCTCATTCTTTTTACTTGACCTTTCACTTGGCACCTTACATAAATTCTTTTGTATCTCAGAGCCTATAATCAGCAGCTCAAGGGAAATCATCCTTGAGAAAATACCTGTATAGATTCTATTGTTCTTCTGCTGCTCTCATCACTATAGCATGAGGGTCTTTCAGTAGTGCATTAAGAGATGTGACTAACTTCTGTCATGTGTGCGGTAATAGGAGCAGGAAAAGCAAAATATGTAAACAAACATATGAAGGGAAAAGAGGCTTTCTTTACAGGCTCTTTTCTTCACCTCCCTCTGCAAAGCAAGCTCACCACCGGGCAATGTGATGACCAGAAAGGAGGTGGGCTGAGAATACCTTGGCAATAGTACTACTTCACTAGGGCTGATAATGATTTGTGATGAAGCACTGAATAGCTCAGAAGTATCAGTGTGCAAGAGGTGATGCAGATAAACCTTTCTCCCATTGCACAGATTTGCACTCTGTGTGTTTCATTTGGGCTACGTCTACACTACGAGTTTTCTCGGCAAAAAATATGCTAATGAGGGACTCATTTGCATGTGTCACAATCTCATTTGCATATTTTCTGCCAGTTTTTTTTTCACTGGGGTTTTTGTGCAAAAACAAGCAATGTGGACTTTTTTTGTGTGTGCAAAAACCCCTTTTTCCACAAAAGAGGCAAAGTGACTTTTCCATGGTCACACAGGAAGTCTATGTCTACACAGCAGTGTTATTTTGGAATAACTAACGTTATTCCAAAATAACAAAGCCATTATTTTGAAATAATGTCGAGCTGGAGGATTTCTTACTCCAACTCCTGTAACCCTCATTGCATCGGGAGTAAGGGAAGTCGAAGGAAGAATGGTCTTCCTTCGACTTCTTGCTGGGTAGACAGCATCTAAAGCCGAGTTAAGTTATTTCGACTTAAGCTACGCAATTGACATAGCCGAAGTTGCATAGCTTAATTCGACTTTAGCCCTGCTGTGTAGACGTACCCGCGTAAAGCAGGGAACTGAACCAGATGTTCTATATCCCACACTAGTGAACTAAACCACAGTTTTGCTCCTCTTTTCTATAGACATGCCTTTCAGCCAAGGACCATCAACTGAAATAATTCTGGCCGAGTTAAGCAGATTTTTTTCTTAGCCACTGTAGTAATTTTACCACCCTTGGATACAGTGCAGTATATTTCTCACTTCTCATCTGGCCAGCTGTGCTAGAATCACAGTTATTGCCCGGCCCTCACCTAGCTTGCTTTCAGATAGCTAGTACCATTAAAGGAACTAACAGGGAACTGATGGAATTCTGGATGGAATTCTGACCAGTTACTGAGCACAGGGGCAAGACTGTATGTATAGGGGGAAAATTTCTACCTCCCTCTCTTGCACATGCACACAAATGATGGGCAGAGTCTGGCTGTTAGAAAACAAACTAGCTAGTAACAGTGCTTTCTTTCTGTAAGGAATAAAGTTAATTAATCACATTATTGCTTTACTAACCATTTAGTTTAAGATCAAGCCAATAAAGCAAAAATAGGCTTTTATGTTATAGACATAGGTTCCAAATCTCTGGATAGCCAGAAGCTGTTTCCCACAGTGACATTCTGTGATCGCAGGCTTGTGCCTTTATTGGACCTAAAAAGGCCTTAGATTACATCATGTTAATCAGTGCATGCAGCAGAGTTCACGTTTTCACATGTAGCAGCACGAGCTGGATATAACACTGAGTTTACATCAGAGTCGGGAATCAAATCTGATAGTAATTTGCTGAGTCTTCAGGTTGCTGAGCATAATACTGTAGAATGAATGGGAAGAAAAGCCTGCTATATCTGCACTCTTCTGGGGAAGATTGTTTTTGGAAAACAGAAAAAATAAGCAACCACTTGAACTTTCACTTGATTACAAGAAATATGAAGAATAAAAATGTCCATGATTTTTCCATACTACTTCTTGTAAAGTACAGTCACAAAACAATACCAGTCATTGTATTTATACTTTCTGTCATATAATATATTTAAATACGGCTAAAATAATGGACTCATCATTTTAAAACATACCCATGTTCCTGATACTTGTTACCGTATTTGTCCATTAGTAGAAGCAATGATTAAGGTCAAATTCACTTACTGTTCACATTTAGTGGTTCCTATATTTTCTCTTATTCTATTAGCTCTAGCTGGTTACTGCTGAGGTAAACAGAGGTGGTTTTTTTCAGTTCAGTATCCTATGGGAGTCTGGCATGGGTTTTTTCCTTTGTTAAAAATTGCTGTGTGTACTATTTATATAGCATTAGACTGAATATTAGGACAAACCTAAACTACATGTTCTTTATCGGGAGTGTTCAATGGAACAACAGAGGGCAGATCTGCATAGCAAACACTAAAGGACGCTAACCCTGCCTTTATTTTTTCCCCCATTTCATTCCATCAGATAAAGAAATGCAATATCGTGATGGGGTGTACCTACACTGGAGAAGGTAGGCCTAACCAGGCTCACCTGGTTGAAGAAGCCCCACCCCCGCAGCCCTGCTGGGCATGCTCAGACTGCAGCCCAGGTAAAAAAGCCTGGAGAGAGGCTCAGTCTGGGCTGGCTGCTGTGGAAAAGGCGGCACAGCCAGAGCTCCTGAGGAGGAAACTACCAGAGGGACACCAACCCTGTGGTACTGGAGCTGGAGGAAGGCCCATGGAAGGAGCTCAGCAGAGTATGGTAGGAAGTAGCCCAGGGTGGGCGATTGTATCCCGAGGAACTCAACGTATTGCAGTGGGAGTCCCTGCTGAGTGAGCAGTGGACTGCACCACTGATAATAGGGCCCTGGGCTGGGACCTGGTGGAGTAGGGAGGGCCTGGGTCCCCCTACCACATCCTCAATCTCCACCCCATGAAGCTGGCACCTGCTTAGTGCTCTCTTTGGCTGTTAGGCTGCATTGCCCCCGTGAGGGGGGATTGATTACTGACTTTGGCAGTTAGTGGTATGGCCCCAGTGAGAGAGCCATGTGTTTGGGACAGGACAGGAAGCGATGAATGCATGGGGGAAGGGTGTAGTCTCAAGAGCCCTACGGACTCGGATACTTCCCTGGGGTATGGGGGAGGGGGGCGTGAATCTACCCCCCTGTGACAAATACGCACAGAACAAGAATTCTGTGCCAGATTGTCCTCAGCTCTAATGAGGAAACACATGATATATGTGGAGGGGGGAGTTCAAAAGGAACCTTTTCTGATTTACCTGTGAGAACCAAGATCTCAAGTCAATCCCAGGCTCTGTGCTGAGATATTAATTCTCCTTTGCACCACTCAGGGATGCATATTGCCCCCCAACAGGGTGGAGAGCTGTCAAGACCTCCACTCCTTCCACTTAGCACAGGCCCTCAGTCACATCTCATTGGATGGTGCACCAAATATGCTCTTTCTCTGTCCTGGGGAGCTATCGGAAGGATTGTGCTTCTGAGGACAAGTAAGTGTCCCTTTCAGGGCTCTCCTTGGAGGTGTTACTCAAAAATGCACCTAACTTAGGGCTATAGGTAAATACCACAATTAGCTCTGTGATGGATGGGAGGGATACTGTCCTTTTCCAAACATCCCAGCATTCAGTAACTAAAGGGTTAAACCCAGCAAGCAGATTTCCTTTCAATTCAAATCTCAACACTTTCTTCCCATTGGTTCTCCTGGCTCCCTGCCAACATTTCCTAGCCACCTGGGTTTAACCCTTTAGTCACTGAATGCTGGGATGTTTAAAAAGGAATAGCACCCCTCCTATGCATCATAGGTCCTGTAAGTAAATAGGTCACCTGTGTCCTTTCTACATTCACAGGCCATTTTACCCTACTTTGTTCCCCGCCCTTTAAGAGGCTCTTGATATTTGGGATGGGGTGGGGGAATGATGTGTAAACTAATACAGCTATCTGTAAACTAAATATTACATGGTGTCACCCAGAAAAAAACAACAACCAACCAACCCACTCAAAAACCCTAAAAAAAGAAAATAACTAACAAGTTATCTTCAGAGCATGGATAGATCTGCCATCCTACATCATTTGGCCCATGACACATGGAGAAGAATACATGCCTTACCCTAGCAGTTCAAAAGAAATGCAGAAGTGATTGCGAAAGTAAAAGCATTCCTTCATGTGGACAACATTGTGTGTATTGTCTTTATATGCACAGGACAAAGTCACATGATATGGCTAGGACCTGATTCATTCAATCTAATTCTAAATGGGTTACTACAACCGACAAGGCCTTGCTGCAGATACAAAACAAATGGCTGCCTTCAAAGAATCAGTAGTTACTAATTCCTGCACAGGGGGATCTAAATAGAGTTATTTCCTAGTGTAAGGTGAGAGAAACGCTGTGTGGTAATTACTGGCAAATGCTGACTTCATAATGCCAACCACTGCCAATATTTTCAACTCGGCTGACAAAAGAATGAAAAACATGACAAATAAAAAAATGTTTCACATGATACATGTTTGAACATCTAAGATGAAATCCTGTCTCTGATGAAGTCAGCGGGAATCTTTCCCTTTACTTCAACAGAACCAGGCCTTTGCTCCTAGTGTAGCCACATCTTTAGTTTTATATAGTATCTTTACACGATACAGAAACAAGAAGAAAGCATATAATGAAAGGACCTAACTCAGCTCCCATTGACTTCAAAACTGCTGGATCAGGTCCAAATAATGTAGGTAGTAAAATTATCTGGGCCTGATCCAACAGCACTGGTTAATAGATGAAGCTTGGCCATTAGTAAGAGGAGAAGAAAATTTGTAGGACCATACTGTGGGATTTCCTGTGCCAGAGTTCTGTATTGAGCCTTTTAATGCTGCGTGCTGTCTCCATCAATGAGTCATTGCTGGATGCTTCATAGGAAGATGAAGCCCCCCAGCCTATTTTCTATTATGCAACATTAAATCAGTCAGAAGGTGGGGGATTTCCTTCTGAGCCTCTGAAGATGCTCTCCTTTGCCCTCAGAATAGGCATGGACATTCCCTGTACATTTTATACATTTTTGTATCAACAACTAAACCCTTTAAAATCATGCTACACTGTTTGTCTTAACCCGGATGGTTTCCTGTGGCACTTATTTCACCAAGTTTACTTTATGCTGGGAAAATAAAGTGCTCCTTTTCTGTCAGTTTTAAACTACCTACCTTCTGATTATGATCCCTTGTTCCTATGCTACAAGGAAGAATGAATAAAGAACCATCCTGGTTTTCTGCATATCATTCCTTTTATTAAATTTTCCTCTTATTCTTTTCCTTTCCAAACTAAAATTTTTAATCTCTTTGATAAACATGCCTGACATCCCTATGCTATTTTACCATCTTTTTTGCACTTCTGGATTTTTCCAGAGTAAAAGGGCTAAGCTATATGACAAGGACTTTGTCAATACAGCTATGACCAGTATAGTTACCCTGATGGAAACCCCCACGTGGACCTTAGCTTATGCCAGCAAAAGTTCCTTTGTTGGTCTAGCTAACCCCCCATACTCAAATGATATTAACTATATGGACCAAAGGACTTTCTTGTCGGAGAAGCTAAATCTACATTGGTGGGCTTTGTTTTGTTTTTTGCTAGCATAGCTCTGTCGGCCAGGGATGTGTTTCTTTAACATTGCTGACTGACACAGGTATGCCAACTAGTTTTTGTAGTGTAGACCTTGTCTAAGGGTTTTTCTACCCAAGGGATAGCTAGTGTGAAACAGTTATTCTGCACTAGTTCTTTCTATGGACACTCCTATTCCATACGAAAAGTGCCTTTGTGTGGATTAAGATAAATCACAAAAAGGCATTCTCAGTGCAGAATAAGAATGCTCACATGGGGAGGTGGTACAGAATAACTCTTGTGATTTAAATTCACACTCTTTAAATTCTCACTCTTCATACTAATTTCCCCATGTAAACGGGTCCTGAGTATTGGACATCTCTAAAACAAAATGATATGGGAGCCCATTATTAAAATAAAATTCAATGTTGCAAGTCAGGATAGAAATGAATTGGCAGCGTTATGAACTGGGGGAAGGGGAGATATAGCTGAAATTCTGGGGGCTGCAGTAAGTCAGAAATGAGGTGCATTGACTGAGCTATGTGCAGGGAATTTGTCTCATTCCTGTCCACATTATGGCTGACTCTCCCAAGATGTAGCACCCCTCCAATTTTATTGCCAGCAAACTCATGCATAAATTTTTAAAAAAATTGAATAAGCAAGTATCCTTTTTCTTGTAGCATATACATATCATTACATCTAATTTATCCATAATAAAGTAGGGACTGATTATTCTCATGAATAGAATAGTATCAGCATATCAACCATCTCTTTAACCTCTTGAAGTCATGCCATGCCATACCTTTTCTTGTTCCTTATTATTTTCACTGCCACTAATTCATTGGTTTTATGATCCAAACATTTTGCTACTTGTCCAAATGACCCTTTCCCAATGACCTCCAGAACTTCATAGCGGTATGCAATATGGTCATGTAGGACCTGCAGTAGACAAGGAAACAAAATGCAAAGTTTTGGTGCAGGCAGCAATTCCAGGCTCATATTCTAGAGTGGTGTGCATGTTTGTGGATTTGCTGCTGTGTTATGCCCACAGGACAAGTTGAGAGGGGCTGCAGAAGTGTACTAGCAGAAGTGGCACAAGCATCTTGGGTCAAGGGAAGGTGGATCTCCATTCAGAGCCTCTCTTTTGAGATTCAAACTGGTTATTAATAGTGCTGGGTTTGCAATGTGGACATCTAACTACTAGCAAATCATTTGAGACCATAATTTATCTCACACAGACTAGGGATGTAAACGAGTAATCAACTAGTCTAGTCGACTAATCACATTCCCCACCCCTTGCTGCCTCTGTATCAGAAGCAGCAAGTGGAGTGGGGCGGGATAGCAGGAGCTGGTGCTGAGGGAGCCAGTTTAAAAGCAGCTCCCCCCCAACACTGTCTGCCCCCATGCTGCTGCCTCTATCCTAGGAGCGGGGAAAGGTGAGGCAGCAGCCCCCTGTCTATGGTGGCCCAGACTAGGACCCCAGAGCTGGGGCCCCTGGCAGACAGGAGCTGCTGCCCGGAGCCGCCTCTGCCCACGGCCAGAGGTCCCACTACTACTACATTTAAACTGCAGAGCCACAGCGGGGGTAGCTCCTAGACCCAGCGTGAACTGGGACTGAGCACTTCTTCCCTATCGACTGATTGTGGAGTTGACAGAAATTCTGTCGACTACACAATTAGTAAATTATCCCTCCTCACAGCAGTGGACAAATAGTCATTACAAATAATGTTGCCCACATTTCCCTCCTTACCTTTATGTAAGTGCCATGTTCATCATCATAACAATTATTATTCTGTGTTTCTGGTAACCCTTCAATCTTTTTAGCTTCCAGCCCAAGAAACCACAGCTCTGCATAGTTTAGAATTTCTTCTTGCTCATACACTGTTAACTGGTTTCTAAAATATTTCAAGGCTTCTAAATAGAAAAAAAAATCCAAAGTGAAAATGCAGAATACCTTGGTCAAGTAATTCAGTTGTAGTCCATACAGTAAAAGTTTTCTCTGTCTTGCTGTGTGACCCTTCGCAAATCAGACAGATAGATATTTATCCAATAACCCCCAGAAAAATACCAGAACAGAATACTGTTACCTACCAGCCCTGTGCTCTTGGGGAGCCAGGGAGTGACATTCATGGAAAACTATCTCCCCCTTCTCCTAAGCCTTTCCTAGAATCAGATAAAGCAAGGAAAAGGCCAGGGAAGACACACCTAAACTAATTAAGGAAACACCCCAGCCTCATCTGCATTAAAGATAGAACAGAAGGAATCTCATTAGCATACAGAATGAGACCAGCTCTTCCAAGGCAGGAACCGCAGTGAACTATGGGATACTGAAAGCAGAGAAGCACTGCCTGATGGGAAATCTCTGCTTCAGTTGCTAATGAACCCAGGCCTGCTCACACCCAAATTAGTCATTATCAGACCAATTCTAATAACAATCCTATTGATATCCAAAATACTGAAACTGCCTAGTTGCACTGTGAGCTCGTTCAAGGAACATAACCCATAACCAGGGGTGATCAGTCTCTATTGTCTCTCCTCTTTCTCTTTGAACTAGTGTCCTATCCCTATACAAACTCCTATCCTTGCCCCAAGAAAAACTGTTCTGATACCTGGATTTAAACTGCATCAGTTCCATTGAGACTTCTTCATCTCCTGTCTGATCATGCTGGGGGCTCTGCTCTGCTTGTCTCCTGCCCTCTGGACCCCCAGCTACCATCACCATCTGGGAACTCCGATCAGTGCAAGCTCCACAGAGTGGTGAGGTCTCTCTTTCTCTCTCTCCCTCCCCTCCTTCCCACCCCCCACAACTATCTATCTCTAAGCCTAGCCTCCTGACTCTGCCCTATGTAAACTGTTATATGGTTAGCTAGCCCTAACATTTGTAATCAGTTCCAATTTAGATTTAATATTGTAACTGTTTTGTGTGCTTGGCTCCCTATATACATATAATAAATAACTTTCATTGTTAAGCTGATTGCTTCTCTCTCTTTCTCTTTCACTCACTCTTCCTCAAGGGATGTTGTTAGTAGGTGTGAGTGTCTGTGTGTGTTGCTAAGGTAGGAAGAACCCCATCCTGAGGAACCTAGTTCCTGCAGGAGAGCTCCAGTGGGAGGGGGAATTGGCAGCAGGGAGAATTCAGCTCCATATTAGAGCACAAGTTAGCACAAGCAACACACTGATATAATTGATAACCTTCCCCCAGTCCCATAAGAGTAACCCTAATAAAGGAGCATACTCCAGAGTATTGGGCATATCTGGTAACAATACTTATATCTAAGGGCTTATCTACATACACAGAGTAGTAATGAGGATTATGGGGGTATGATTTCTGAAGTGCACAAAGGTGTTGAGCATTAATTAGTCTGTTGATCCTGCTGGTACACACTAAAGATTCCCTAGGACACTATAGTGAAGTTGCAACCGTGCACTGTTACAGTACATTAGGGAACATTACAAAGAAATTGCTTATTGCAGTATATACATTACTCATTACCGTATATACAAAGTCCCAAAAGCCATCTACATAAAACTTAAAAATTACTAACTATAACCTCCTTCTCCCAAACAAAATTAATAAACCCTGAGAAACAGAAGCCCTGTCTATCTATTATGTTGCAAGAAGGAACTCTAACACTGCTTTGTGTTATGTTTTAGCTTCTTTATTAAGGTGGCAATTTCGAACCCACTCAGCACTGGCCTATCACTGCTCCCAGGGGGATCAATAGTATAATTTTACTAAGTTCTGAGGAAGCAGAGTTAGGCCTAAGATGAGCCCTTTTGAAGGTCCCAACTTGAATGTCTTTAAAAAACACCCATCACAGTTGTCCCCAGGCATATTTACAACAACACATTGACTAAAGTCACATGTTCTCACCTCCTAAAAATAGCTAAATGCATAGTCCAGCAGCCTTTCATCCCTCTGAAATATGGATTTAGTCCTTATCATGGCTAAACCTAGCATCAGTCCTCTAGAGCTATGCAGGATTTCTGGTGAACTGTCAAACCAATGAGCTGGTTAAGCTGACTTAATTTTGCCTGCAAATTGGCCTGAAGCCATCCTTATTAGTTTAAGTAAAATTCTCAGAGCCCAGAATTGTTCCTGTCACCAGAGTGTCACAGTGTGTCCTTGTGTCAAGTCAATCCTTTAGCAAGGCCAATTTTAGAGAAAGCAGAAGGTCAAAGACTATTTAGCTTACCTATTCTATTCAAAGTCACTGGCACGAGCAGGCTCACTGATGGGGGAGGCAGAAGGAAAAGCTCCCAGCCACTGTTGCTACTGCAACAGACATGGCAGCAGCTGGACCTCTGGGCTCTTTAAACTGCTGGGCCACGTGGCACACCCCAGGCAGCACTGAGAGCTGCCTGCAGAAGATGCCACACTCTCCAGGAGGCTCTGAGGGCTGCGCAGCACCAGCACCACACCTTCCTCCTCAGGTCCTACCCCTTCTGGAGGCCCAGCGAAGCTGTTGGCCCTGCTAGGTATGAGTGCCTTTGAGTAAAAAGGGAATATGGGTTCTGATTTTTCTGTGGATAACTGCACATGGAATTATGCTGTAAGAAGGATGAAATTCTCCCAGAAAGAACAGCACAATTTTAGTTCCAAATATCTTGTTTGTTCATGTTTTGTCATATTTGGCAGACTTCCCAAACATTAGGAGAGCAGAAGGTCAAATCTGAAATCTGCCATTCTGATCAGAAGGGAGAATTTACTCCTACTCATCACACACTGGACAGTCATAGCTGATGACTATCTGTACAGTTTAATGGCTTCATCACCAGACAACAAATATTCTCTAGTAGTATCCATGCACTGTTCATATAATGAAGGTTCAGCATCAAGTTCAGTTCAGTGTGGGGACATATAGGCTCTACCGTTGCCTTATTTTTAGTCACTCTTCATTGACTTCCAGAAAAATAATGTCAGGTCCTTCTGCTACTCCCTAGTCAGGGGGAATATTTTTGCAAAGAGATGAGACTAGCAGCTATAGCCAGGTGAATTTATTTGGTAAATAGTTTATTTGGCAAATAGTTATTTGGTAAACATGCATTTGTCGCTCATTCTGTCAACAGAACAATTTACAAATGTGATATAAATCAGCGAACAATTTTAGCCAAATAAAAAATGTTTAAAATATATTATGTAACAAAAAGTTGAAACGGTTTGTTTTGACATTTTCAAAATGTAACATTTCAAAATGAAAACCTTAATGGGTAATGAACACCTGAAAAAATAATGAAATGAAACAATTAGAAAAAAATGTTCATTGTGTTCAATCTAATTTTTCCCCATCCGCACCAACTGAGGAAGGCTAGATTGTCCTGCAGCTCTCACTGTCATGGCTACATGTCTATTTCTAGTCTGTTAGCTCAATGAGAGCCGCGCAAGGGATCACAGCCCCCGCTCCAACTGTAGACATGCACTTAGTGACTTGCCTATGGTCACACCGCACAGTGTCACGTCCTCTTGTCACTTATATATTTGCATTAGTCTATTTGTTCCACATTTTGTATAAAACAATAGTTAAATTGCATTTAAAAGCCCTCTAACACATCCCTTCCCTCACACCCCTAAGAGAGGCATTTCAGTGAACACTTTACAGCAGTTTGCCTCAGTGAGTGCTGTTTGTTACACTGTTCCCTCTAGCATGCATTGTTTCTGTGCATACTGTACCTGGAGCTGTCAGAGGTAGCTTGAGACTGGTATTGCTTCCTTCTACTTCTGGCTTATTGGGCTGAACTCTGGTAGCACTTTCAGGCAGGTTTTCTGCAAGGTTAAATCGGGAAAAATGTGGCTGGCCTCGAGATCTGTTTTCCTGCCAAGCAACAAAGATTTTCATTTTGTTTTCTGGTATTTTAACTCATTTTCAGCTCATCCCTGTCACTACAGAACTGCTGCCTGCAGCCCACTTGGAAGTAAGCTCTGGAGGCTTTGGACTTTATTAGGGATTTTAAAGTTAATTTAGTGTTCAAAGAAGGCCTTGAAGCCTTGGAAACCATGACAACATAAGAATACTGGGTCAGACCAAAGGTCCATCTAGCCTAGTCTTCCCACAGTTGCCAATGCCAGCTGCCCCAGAGGGAATGAACAGAACAGAAAATCATCAAGTGATCCATTCCCTATTGCTAGGGCCGTCCCTATGGGGGTATGGGGCCTGGAGCAGCTCCCCCAGTGCCTCAGGCTTGGGGCTCAGACAACCCCTCCACCACAGGCCCCGCACCTACCCCTTCCTCCCCCGAGCAACACCAAACAGGATATTACTGGGGGGCCTGGCATGGGGTGGTAGCAGGAGTCAGCCCCTCCCTTCCTGCACTCACCATGGCAGAGGGAGCCAGAGTGACCCCACAGCCTGCTCTGCTTTGCCCCCATCTCCTCCCAGCCTGCTGTGCTCTACTTTTCCATGGCAGCACCTTCTCCTCAGGTAAATCCCCAGGCCACCCTGGAACCTGGACATAGGAAGGTTGAGGCAGCCATCGTGGCCCCGCCCCCCAAAAGCATGGGGTCTGAGGCAGTTGTCCCAAACCATCCTATGGATGGGATGGCTTTGCCTATTGCTTACTCGCAGCTGCTGACAGAGGCTAGGGACACCTTCCCTGCCCATAAACCACACAACAGGTTCTGCCTGGACAACAGCAGTGGAAACTTCCCTTAAAATGCGCCTTCATTTTGACTTAGACACCTTTAGAGGAAAAGGGAGAATTCAGTTTCCATGTCTATTCAATATTGGGGCCCAGTTATCAGCTGGTGTGAACTGTCATAGCTGCATTGACTTTGATTAAGCCATGACCATTTATACACGTTAAGGATCTGGCCTTGGTCTTTCTACTGAGGAGGTGGATAAGATGCTGAAATAGATGTTCTCTGTTTCTGGCTTCTGGGATTCCAAGAGTCAGAGCGCCTCTTTAGTTCTAAGCTTGAGCAAGCAGATTTAGACAAAAAGATAAGAGAACTGGCTTGAACCACCATCCTAATAGGGGCCCTGATTTACCAAAGCACTTAAACATGGATTGCATACTGGAAGTTCTATTCTCCTGTAGAATTTCTAAGCCTTGCTCTAGAAGGGAGTCTGGTGTCTATGTCTCTTCTAACCGTGGCTTTTAAGTGTTTTCTTGAAAAACAATCTCCCAAAATCCTTAGATTAGTAAACTAACCTGTGCACAGAAGAGACTGGAACTTCTTAGAGTTGAAACTTAAGCACTGCCTGCAATGGGACTTGAGCATGTTTTTATTCATGAATGTTAGGCTCCCTCAGGACAGCGAATTTTTTCTTTTTTGATAGCTCAAATTATTTCAGGTAAGCAGCCTCTTTGCCCATTCTTCATGTTCCTTTGTGTCCTAGAGCTCCACCCAACCCTTATACACACATTTCTAAACAGGTCATACAATCTATTGCAGTGTCTCAGTAACCTCTGCCAGACAAGCTACTATTTGGAAAGCATGAGGTCTCCAAGCATTCCATGGCATCACAGGCAAAACAAATTCTGAGGTAATTCTGATTCAGAAATACTTCTAGCCCATAAAAAAAGATAGATCAGAACAGGGCTCAGAAGAACCTGCCAAATCTGTTGAAACTCCACCATAGATTTAGTACAGTAACATCACAGACAGGAAGGAAAAAGAATCAACATGGTGGAGATGAAGAATGTCAATGATGACGATAGATCTGATTTATTGGAAGAAGAAAAAAGAGACAGGAATTTAGAGAGCTAGGGAAAATGAGGAAAGAGAAGGAAGTGGTTGGATTCTTACATGCCTGCATTAAAGAAGACTTCAAAAGTAACTTTGGATAGTCATCAAAATTTATGGAGCTATCCCAAATTAGCTGCCACGCCTTTTAGGTATTCACCCATCACTAATTTTTTTCTTTTAAACTGGAACTGTACTAGTGAAAATAGAAACTGAGAAAAAAACTTCAGTAAATTATATCTATTTACACATGTACAAACATCCAGATAGCTCACTCATCAGATTCACCAAAATTCCATAGCTCCATTAGAAACAAATTGGTTAACATCAAACAAAAGTGTCTAACAATCAGATACACAAGATGGGTGAGGTAATATCTTCAGGACCTGAAGAAGTGATTTGTGTGGCTCAAAAGCTTGTTCCTCTCAGCAGCAGAAGCTGGTCCAATAAAAGATAATACCTCATCTATCTTGTTCCACTAATACCCTGGCGCAGACATGGCAGCAACCACACACTGCATATAGCAATGATGTGTCCTTTACCTCACCTGAAGCAATGGGTGCACACTTTGCAGGTTCTTTGTTATATGAGGAAAGCTGCTGTCTTGTGGATGAGGTCTGGCAGCACTTACAACGAAATTCTGCTTTGTTTGGCCTTCCAGATGAGGGAGTGAACTAACACTGCTATTGAATTTCTAAAGTCAAATAAATAAAAATTACCTGGCAAACTGGCAAAGATTTTTTAAAAAAAGTTTAATTTGAAGGAATGACCACAATAGCTTTTCTATACTTTTAAAATGAATTTGTCAAAAACATGTACAAATATACAACACAATTATTAATAGATTAAGAGAGATATTAGAGGAGCAGCAGTAGCTTCCAGTATACATTTGTGGCATGTGTTTCCTTAGTACTACCTAATTTTAATTTCATGTGTTTTTTTTTTAAATTTCACCTTCTGTGTTGAAATTTTGCTATATAATCTTATCCCAAAAGTAATATGTTTCTGGAAAAATTGAGGTATATTCATTCAGCAATTTCTGAGATAAGTGTAAAAAAGAAAAAGTCCTAGCTCTAACCACTAGAAGAAAGAAAAAGAGAGAGAGATCTATACCCAGGTGTTTAGACCACTCACCTGGGAGGTGGGAGGATCTAGTCTCTGCACTCAAATGACCCTTCAACAGGAGAGACTGAGCGAGCCTCTCATCAGGCTATCCCAGTGGTTAAAGCATCTACCTAATATATGGTAGATCCCTGTTCAAATCCCCAGTTTTGTGTGAACTTGCATGCGGAGCATGATCTAGTAGAGAGCCTCTGAGAATACCTACAGGATGGACCCCATATGTGAGTGAAGCACCTGAATGCCTATCTTTCCCTGGTTTGTGAATTGCTGTGAGCGTTAGGCAGAGGATACATGTCTGGAAACCTAGAAGGCGGCAGCAGTGCAACTGCCCAGCAGCCAATCTAGGCATGTGATGTTATCAGAATGTAATATGAATATACAGAGCATTGTTGCAGCCACTGTTATATGCTTACACCAAATCTCGTACAGAGTGGGCCAAGTAAGATGTCTATTAAAAGCTTATAATTCACTGATTCTGTTTATACTATTTATATGAAGTTATTTGTATTGACAATGTATTTGTACTTCAAATGTTTGCTTCCGGAAGACATCAACAAGAGGCTGAGCCAGACTATTGTAAAAGGACTATTAGTCAAGTGAATAGAAGTACTTGACTGACAATACACCTTGGGTGGTGCCAATCCACATCTGATGAGCTCCTCTCTGAATATTCGCACCAGCATGGGAACAATGGCTGCTGCCAAAAGGGACCGAGGCATGCATGGACAGATGACTTTTTTCATGTGATAAACTCCATCTTGGGACTTACTTTTAAATAGCATGAACAATGGGAATCTGTCCACATGGCTAAGGCTATAAAAAAGGCACTGGGTGTTCCTCCATTTGTCTTCAATCTGGCTCATCATCTCTGGACAGTCATTGCTATGAACTGAAGCTCGATAGGACTGATGACCCATCCTAACTGCAGATTATTCCACCTCTACTATAAGCCAGCACCAAGAACTATGCAATTGGTGAATGTATTTGATTCCTGTAAGAATGTCTTTCTCTCTCTCTCTCTTTCTTTCTTTTTCTCTTTCTCTCAGTAAACCTTTAGATTCTACTACAGGAATGGCCAACAGCAAGTTTTTTAGGTAAGGTCTGAGTTGTATATTGATCTGGGAATGTGGCTGTTCCTGTGGGATCAGACGCACCTTTTCTTTGATTTGGTGAGACTGGTTTTAATAATCTCTCTTCTGTACAGGGAGTGGTACTGGTGGTGGCACAGGAGAACTGGAGTGTCTGAAGGGAACTGTTTGCATGACTTCTTTTGCTAGCCAATGTGTTGAGCAGAAGTGCTCTGTGTGACTGGTCTGGTGTGCCTTATAGTGAAGCACTCTCAGTCTTGGGCTGTAAGTAGCCCTGTCTAAGCAGTTTGCTCTGATTTGATCCCCTGAGCAGTGACACCCACCCCCCTTCCCACCTCCTGTATTACAAGGCATGGAGAGTTTAGGCACTTACGGAATTCTGTGAGTTTTATGTATCACAGTGGAAAATAACACTGGGACTGAGGCACCTATGTGCCACTTTAGGTGCCTAACGCCCTTCGTTCATCCAGGTCTAGGCCCCCCTTTTTTTTTTCAAACACTGCTGCATCACAAGTGCTTTAAATTCAATTATTGATGTGTATGGTAATAACTTCTGTGACTAATGGGAGCTACGCATTTGGTATCCAAGTGGTTTGCATCCCATCTACTATCTACAAAGGAAGTTTTCATTGTAGAAAACTTTCTCTTATAGGCAGATTTCAGTACAAAAGTAGGCTTATCTCCTGTAAGAGATAGCACCCAGGCAATCAATTGCTCCAGTGGGACCATAAATTGTGTGCTGAAGTTTTTATGGTCCTGTAGAATGTCAAAGCTTTGAAGGAGAAAATGTGGTTCCTATGGTGGTTATAATGACAAGGGGGTTTCCCTGTATTTTCTTTAATAAAAAATAAAATAATAATAAAAAAAAGCTCCATAGATGGAAAAGCTGCCCTCTTCACAGAAAAGACTGTGGAAGGGACTGAAAATTCTTAAAGTTGAAACTCCTAGGCTGTTGAAACTCTAGACTGGCAAGTTTTTCCGGAAAATCAGCAGCTTTTCTGGAAAAACTTGCCAGCTGTCTACACTGGCCACTTGAATTTCCGGAAAAGCACTGACGATCTCATGTAAAATCATCAGTGCTTTTCCGGAAAAACTATGCTGCTCCCGTTCGGGCAAAAGTCTTTTTCCGAAAGACTTTTGCCCAAAAGGGCCAGTGTAGACAGCAAAGTACTGTTTTCCGCAAAAAAGCCCTGATCGCAAAAATGGCGATCGGGGCTTTTTTGCGGAAAACCATGTCTAGATTGGCCATGGACGCTTTTCCACAAAAAGTGCTTTTGCAGAAAAGCATCCTGCCAATCTAGATGCGCTTTTCCGAAAATGCTTTTAACGGAAAACTTTTCTGTTAAAAGCATTTCTGGAAAATCATGCCAGTCTATACGTAGCCCTAGAGTTTCCCATGAGAATATTTTGAGGATGGGAGGAATGTTTGTTCCTCAGCCTTAGTCTACACTAGGGCTTCATTTTGAAATAACCCCGCATAGGTCCAATTTATAAGTGGAGCGTCCACACTACCAAGCCCACTATTTCAAAATAAGGGGCCACTTATTTCAAAATCTGTACTCCTGCTTTTCTTGGGAAATAATGCTAATTTCAAAATAATTATTTTGAAATGGTGTTAGTATGGATGCTCCCGTGCTGCTATTTCAAAATAACTACTCCCCAATAGTTATTTTGAAATAACTATTTTGAACTAATTACTCCCCAGTGCTTCCTGGGGCTCTAAGTCAAAGTAGCACATCCACATTAACAGGGCCTGCCTCAGACTAATTTCAAGGCTTCTCCATTGTGGGGACATGCTATTTTGATTTTGTAAAATTAGGAGTTATTAAGTGGAATTTAGTTATTTTGAAATAGTTTTCTAGTGTAGACATTGCCTCAGTGGGCAGCGGACAGAGCTCAAAATACTACTGAATGACTAGTGGAAGCACAGATGAACTAGACACTCCCAGAGCTGCAAGAGAAAGAAAGGTGGAGAAGAAAAGGACTATTCTGTCCTCTACCACTCATGTTAAACCATCTCCTTAAGTTTATTATATTGGAGGTGCTAACCTGGAAAACAAGCAGAAGAATGCTCTTTAACAGTGGTAGAAGATTTACATACCTGATGGAAGACTTTGCTGGATCCCAGACAATTGCTCTCCTGAGCTGGCTGTTGAGCTGGAGGAAATGAATCTACTTGGGAAGACTGAAAAAGATTATTTGACATTTTGTCAGTAAAGTGACTCTGAAAGGTTACATTACAATATTTTCTCATTGGCACTAATAGCACCCAATTGATTACAGCAATTTAGTCTACAATAATAATAGGAGGACATGCATCTCTAAGAGTAGGTCTAGACTACGTGGCTCTGTCGACAGAGCCATATAAAATAGTTTACTCGGCATAGTCAAAGAAGCGGGGATTTAAATAATCCCCAATTCATTAAAATAAAAATGGCTGCTGCGCTGTGCCGACGATCAGCTGATCCGGCACGATGAGCCCATTATTAAATAACTGTTGCTTGTGTACATTCTCATAGGGTATACCGGAGTGGTCGACAAAAGCTTCCCTTGTTAACCGCGGCAGGTCTAGACTGCCCCGCTGTACTGGATCAGCTGATCGTCAGCACAGCATGGCAGCCATTTTTATTTTAATGAAGCAGGGATTATTTAAATCCCCGCTTCTTTGACTATGCCGAGTAAACTGTTTTACATGGCTCCGTGGATGGAGTCATGGAGTCTAGACGTACCCTAAGTGTTATGGCTGGCATCTGCCACAGGGAGGATAATTCTGATTGAACCAAGAGTTGTCAGAATGCCAAATAACTTATGAGATTTCTCTCTGATATAACCCATGTCTCTTTCCAGAGTCTCAGCAATTCTCTTAAATAGCCCTTGGAACGCCTCAAAATAGCTTCCTGTTGATATCAGGGACAAGTACACCGCCTTGTTGGGTGACAAAGATGACAGGCCTTTGTTGGTGAAACATGACCTTGTTGTTCTGCCTCCAGGTATAGCTCCCCCTGCCAGTCTATCATAGGCACTCTGGCCAGAGATACTGGTGGGGAGAACAATCACAGAAATGTAGGGCTGGAGTAAACCTTGTGAAGTCACCAAATCCTGCTTCCTGCACTGTGGCAGGACCAAGTAAACACAAACTAACCCTGACAGGTGTTTGTCCAACCTTTCTCTTAAAACCTTCAATGATGGAGATTCCACAACCTCCTTTGCAAGCCAATTCCAGAGATTAACTACCCTTATTGTTATAAAGTTTTTCCTAATAGCTAACCTAAATGTCCTTTACTACAGATTAAGTTCATTACTTCTTGTCCTACTTTCTGTGGACATGGATAAAAATGGATCTCTGTCCTCTTTGAAACTGCCCTTAACATATCTGAAAATTGTTATCCGTTTCCTTAGGTGTCCTTTCCCCAGGATTAAACATACCCCATTTTTTCAATCTTTCCTTATAAAATACTGAATAATATAAAATAAAAAACACTCCTCCTGCTATTCCAGTCCTTTCAAATAAAATTGTACTGTTTTTCATCCTAGCCACTGTCAGTTACTTCAAGGTGGAACTGTCCACCACCTGCTACATACTCTGCTATGATCCAGAGACTTGAGTACCAGGTACTCATTATTTTGATACAAAATTACGAGGAATTGCAACATAATTGTACATGGACTAAAAGACAGGCTGATATAATTTAGTACTATGTTTTAACCAGAATAATGAAAATTCTGCAAGAAATGCAAGTCAATTCTAGTGCAGCCCCCTGAACATACTAGAATTATGCTGGTCACGTAAAATATACACCTGCGTCAAATACAGAATTCATTTCTCCTCTTTTAAATGGGAGTTTTATCCACTAACGCCAAAACAGTAAGAATAAACAAAATATCAGAAACTATCAAATAACAAATGTAGCAAATAGCAATAGTAACTCAGAATGCAGCAAGAATACATATCCCTCACCCCCCCTTACCTCACCAGTTATTTGTGGCAACATAACTATTAGAGTTGCTAACTGCATGCCGGACTTTTCATTCCATTTCAAAAGGGATTTTAGAAAATCCATCTTTATCTAGTCAGGACTCACAAAAATCTATTTTCTCTACACAACACTCCTGATCTGAAACATGGATAAGCCTTCTGCTTGGTTTCAGATTTAAATCTTCTTTCTATAATATGCCACAACTATTAACTGCTACAGAATTCTTTCAGAGTCTACCTACTCCATTTTTCACTTCCCACTAGATCAACATAATTCTACATATTTTGCATGGCAAGTCAGTAACAAGGAAAGACAAACTGAACAGAGTTAACTTTATTTACTGTCTAACTTTGTTCTTCACTGAATAATCATCTAGAGCAGTGGTTCCCAACCTTTTTGAGCATATGGACCCCTTTTCAATCTATTAGAATGTCACGGATCCCCCTGGTTGGGGGAGGAAAAGAAACTTAAGTGGTGATACCAAAATAAGGGCCCGATTCTCATTTCTAAACTTTCCAAGGGCTATCTGCACTATCGCGGACCATCAGGGATCCATGGACCACAGATTGGGTACCACTGATCTACAGCTTGTGGCACTGAAACAAGGTTTGTACCTGTCATTTATTTGTAAAAAATTCAGTCATAGAGAGCTTGTTAAACTGTCAGTGTAGTTTCTTCACCAAGACTGCCTGCCTGGAAAATGATCGTCAGTTAATACGTTCTGAATGGTCTTTCCAATTTGGCACTGTTCTTTGTTTACTGAGGACCAAATTGTGGTATTTAATTAGTGGCCCAAGTTAGGGATTGTGCAGCCTGGTTCTTCCAGAGCAAGATGGGATGGGATAAGCCATGGTGCCATCTCCTGTCAGACAAATAGGAAGTCATGAACCCCTTGTGGGCTCACTGAAGGAGAAGTTCCTGCACTTCCTCAGAGAAGGGGTTGTAACTGTCAGTGTTTCTTGTATGCACTTTGAAAAGGGGAAGGATCCTTGTACATTCCACCTCCTTCAATATACCCCAGTAATGGCCTGTCCTAGTATGACTCTGATTCCATAAACAAAACAGAATGGACTGGCTCTTGCTTAGAAACTGATTAATAAGTCAGGGTGCATCTACTCAGCACCCTACACTTGAAATAAGATATGCAATTTGCACACACAAATTGCGTATCTTATTTCGATTCTGTTTCAAAATAGCTTATTTTGAAATTTGGCACATCTACACAACGCCAAATTTTGAAATAATGCGCTATTTTGAGACAGCCCTTAATCATCGTGGAACAAGGGCTACAGGGATGCCAAAATAGCACACTCATTATTTTGAAAAATATTTCAAAGTAACGGGTGGCTTGTTAAGATGCAGGGTAGCTATTCCGGGATACCTCTGGTATCCGAAAATAGCCATGTAAAGTAGACCTACCCTCAGTATACATAAAACCGAATCTCTCATTCATAGTGAGAACTGTTAGCAATTCCTGCCCTACACCCCCCTTCTCCCCCAGTTTCAATTGTTTAGCTCAGTGTTTCCCAGTTGGTGCTCTGCAGAACCCTGGGGTTCCGTGAAGCGAAAGAAGGGGATCCGCAAAGAGCTGGCACTCCCCCGCCCCCTTTGAAAGTGAAGCGCCGGCTAGCCAGCTTCTTAAAGAAGCAGCACACTTGTTTCCCGTTCCTCCCTGGCGACACAGAGGCGTAGCAAGGCGGGGCCAGAGGAGAACAGTTTGCTCCCAGCCAGCACACTAGGGGGGTGCTGGACAGGAGTGACCCCACGTGACCCACAGCGGGGAGGGAAGCACTTCCCCTCCCCAAAGGAGCCGGCACGCACTGCCTGAACAGCTGTGGCTGTGGCACCCGGCAACTTAGTTCCGCCGCCTTTTTGCATGGTGCAGGGGGGAGGAGAGGTCAGGAGACCTGGGTCTGCGCAGCTCCGACTGTGCAGGCAGCGTGCTCTGCCCTGGGACTCACCGCACCCGCTCCCCCCTCCCACCCCCACAAGACAGCATCCTGGAAGTAAGTTGCTGGAGTGCAAGCGCCCATGCTGTTTAGGCAGTGCTCACGCAAGCTGTGTGGGGAGGGGAAGTGCAGTCACACACTTCCTGTAACCCAGAGGTGCTGCAGGATTATCAGATACTGGTCCCAGCTGTCCTGCCCCCTGCCCAGACCCCCACGAGTATCCTGTCCCCTACCCCCACCAGCACTGTCCCCAGCACCCAACAGCATCCTGTCCCCAGTCCCAGCACTCTGCCGCCCACCCCAGGACCCATCACCACCCTGTCCCTGACCCCAGCACCATGCCACCCACCACAGCACCACCCTGTCCCTGGCCCCCAGCACTCCGCCACCCACTGCAGCACCCAGCACCACCCTGTCCCTGGCCCCAGCATCCTGCCACCCATCCTAGCACCCAGCAGCACCCTCGCCCTTGCCCTAGCACCCTGCCACCCATCCTAGCACCCAGCAGGGACCATGTCCCTGACCCCAGCATCCTGTCCCAGCACCCCGCCATCTGTGCCAGCATCCTACCACCCAGGACCCACTAGCACCCTATCCCCTGCCCTCACCAGCACAGTTGAGACCACATTAGTGAGGCTTGGGGGAGGGGGTTTGCATCTCACTTGTGACTCTTCTGTGGGTCAGTGACCCTTGACTCAAAACAGGTTCCTCACCCCTCTCGTATATAAAGACAATGCTAAAACCGTTTGAGTTTGACATAATATTTTATTTAAAAATGAAGCCAGGCCAACATGCCCCCAATTGGGGCCAAATCCCCATCTCACTAACACTCCTGCACCACCTGACCCCAAATCTGAGCCTATCCTACACTGGAACCCCCTGTCCTGAGCCTCTTACATCCCCAAACTCCTGCATCCCCACATCCTCAGTCTTCTGCCACAACACTCCTGCACCATCCACACATGGCAAATCTGTGTCCTGAGCCCATCTTACTCACAGCCTCCTTGCCCTGAGCCCCTCACATATCCAACCCAAACTCCTCACATCCACAAGCCTATGACTTGCTAGGCACTCCAACCTTCCATCCGAGCCCAACACTTCCCAGCCTGGAGCTCCTTCCCCGAGCCAGCAGTCCCTTCTCCTGAATCCAAATTCCCTCCCAGAACTTGCACTTCTCACCCCTTCCCACATCCAAATCCCTCATTTCCACCCCAGAGCCCGCACCTCCTATCTCAACCCAGCGAGAGTGTATAAAGGCT